AACTGGTAGGAACCCACCTCTGCAGCTATCTAACTTTACCTTAATATTAGGACTGGCCTTGAAAATATTCTTGTTTGAGATCCAGAGCTTGAACCTCTTCTAACCGGTTCGGTAGATTTGACGAACCGGTTCTACCGAATAGGTGCGAACTGGTAGGAACCCACCTCTGCTCCTACTACTAGTATTAGGCTACTACAATTTGTGAGCCCTACTGCTAAAGAACCTTAGGTCTGTCTGTTAGCCCTAGATTGATTCCAGTGGCTTTATTCACATTAAGTAACAGAAACGACTTCCCCTGTCATTCCCAGAACAATTCCGATGCGCCAGTTATTTCACCACAAACAACAACACCCATCATCCCCAGCTGGGCAGTTGGACTGGCTAGGGAGAGGTCTTAAAGGGACAGAGCACAATAAGCACAGGTGCTAACTAACTTTTAGGCAGCCTGCGCTCTCACACTTAGACCATTTTTAAAGGGCTTATTCAGAGACTCTAAATTGCCTTTTAAAATGCTTAAATTATATTCAAAGATTATATCATTGTAACATTTTTTTTACATACAATATCAATTAATTGATTTCAGTTGAGATTTAATTAGACAGCCCTCCATCAGAATGTAAAGCAGCTAAAATACATTTGCTACCTACATTCAGTCTATAAATCTTTCTGTTACTTAGGAAATTACAATTATCTGTTTTGTGCCAAGACAATCTAATTTGCTGTATTTAAAATGTAAGTTCATTTTAATAACTCTTGTGGTGTTATCAATAAGCTGTATATGGAAGGATTCTTTTAATCAGTTTCAGAAAACTGTTTGTTATATATTGTTCTTCTTTTTTCCACCCTGTCATTGCCAAGTTGAAGGGAAGAAATATATATTGGTTTTATTCTCAAATTGCTCCGTTACCGCTCTCACAGTGCTTGCTAATTAACCTACATGAAACTCAAGTTCCTGCCTTGCAATGTATACACTCTCCTGCCATTATAAAGAAGAAATAATTAATCTCTACAGTTGTAAATCGTAATGTGCAAAGCCAAGGAGGCTTTTAAAGTGGAAAATGATAGAATGTAGTATATGTCTGGCCTGTAAGAGGAAGGGAGAGGAAAAGTAGAAGTGTATTAAACTTAAGTTTTGAAATCGCCTTATTGATGCATGAAAATTTCCAGTGTCTCAGAATATCATTTCATACTGTTTGCCCCAAGTAACCATTTCAAGTGGGCCACTGTGCAAACACGTTTAGCTAAAAATCTTAGGGCTTTGTGCAAACACTTTCTTAGTGTCTCATGCATATATGTATATTTATTAAATTATTAGGCTGGCTGATTCCTTTCTCAATTATTTATTTTGATTTGTTAATCAAATTTATACAGCCACCTATCTCACCAAAAGCAACTCACCAAAAGTGACAATTTTCTGTTTAAAGAAAAAAAAATCCACAATCAACAAATGTTGGTTTTAATGGCATGGCTTTCTGTTGAGTCAAACTTCTCCATCTCCTTTTCCTTCCCCTCTTCCAAAACTTAGCCTCAGCTATCTTGCATTATTACCCCCTTTTTCCCCTTCCAAATTTGCTCATCATTGGCCCTGTTCGCCAAAGGTTTGTATCCTTTTGTTAAATGTAGTGCTTATATGATAATTTGTGAAGTTTCAGATGTTTTTCAAATCTAGTCCAAATGAGATCTTGGGGAGGAGATATGATGGATTTGTGGATAACAGAATAACTGTATTGAAAGCATCTTTTGAAGTATACTGAAGTGGTATGAGTAATGAAGAATACAGAGATTCTGAGAATAGACATTTCTCTTCTGCCAGAAGGGAACAAATTAATTCACTGCTGTGATAAACATTAGTGTCAAAGTATGAGTGTACTCCTTTTATTTAACACAGAATTCAAGCCAGGTTTTTTTATTACAAAAAAATAATCATTCAAGTGCCCCCAGCCACTTCAGAACCTCTGCATTCTTCATTACTTGATTTCATCTTATAAGATTCTTTATCTCCCTGAGAGAGCATGCTAACTCATTGTAATGCCTACATATTTATTTTGAAAACCTTTCTAACTCTTACAAAAGATAACTCAGGTTGCAAAGCACATTGTTAACTCTGAGGGCCAGTAATCTTTTGCTAATTCCAAAAGTCTGTAATGACTGCTCTACTCTTATAATTATAGCAATGTTCCTCCTTAAATTGAAAATATAGATCAGCTGTGTTGTTTTGAGCATTTTTTTTTTTAAAAATCAGTTCTTACTTATTAGTTTGGCACTCTTATTTGAATTATAGTTTATAATCATCCTTAAATTAATAACAGCTTCTTTAAAAAAAATAGGAAACCATTCCGACAACCACAGTTGT